TCTACAGTTACAGACTGTAGTCCATCTGTTTCTCTGATACTTTGTTAGCCCCCTTTTACCCTGTTCTTCAGTGGTCAGGACCCCCATGGACCCTCACAGAGCAGGTACTATTTGGGTGGTGGGTCATTCTCAGCACTGCAGTAACACTGACGTGGTGGTGGTGGTGTGTTAGTGTGTGTTGTGCTGGTCTGAGTGGATGAGTTTTTAAACACCTCAGTCGCTGCTGGACTGAGAATAGTCCTCCAACCAAAAATATCCAGCCAACAGCGTCCTGTGGGCAGCGTCCTGTGGGCAGCGTCCTGTGACCACTGATGAAGGACCCTTTTTGGTGCTATATAGAACCACTTTCATTCTATATAGAACCATCTACAGCACATTCTCCATCAATCTGAAGAACTGTTTCACCATGCAAAGAACAATTTCATCATGCAAATAGTTCAGAACCTTTCCCTTTACTAAAGAACCCTTAAAGAACTATCTTTGTGAGTGCATTACTGTTGCCTGTGGTTGCAGTGTTGGGCAACAAGAAATGCTAACATAACGTTCAGTAATATAAATAAGGCATGAACAGACTGACCAATGAAGAAGAGTGGGGGAAAAAACAAGATGTCTTGAGTGACTGTGGACAAATTTCCTTTAGTGCTCTCGTTTGCCCCCTTGTGGCAGAAACAGTCATCAAATACGAGTGAAAGAGTCATTTAGTTGCTTCATTTTGTAGCTCAAAATATAGAGTATAGAGCACAAGCACTGAAAACAGTGTTCTCTTTGTTGGGTTTGTTTCTCCTGAGAGGTTTGGTAATCTATGAAAGCTCTCTCTCTTCCTCCCTCTCTTCCTCTCTCTCTCGTTCTCTCAGCAGGGTGGGGTTTATTCAAGAGAGAGAGAGTGAGCGAAAGAGCTGGAAGCAGAAAGACGTAGAAGTCAAGGGCACTTTCACATCGTCTGTATTCACCCAGAAACACAAAGACAAAGCTGAGGATTTTCAGTGAAAGCTAGATTAATGAGAGACATGCACAGTGATGACTGTCAACTTCAGTGTCTTGTTTGTTGTCAGTGACTCACATTACCTGAAAACTGTGCTGCGATTTATTAACTCAACCATAAAACTGACTTCAGCATCCTGCTGAGTCACTGGCTCTATAAAGGATGTCATTAAGACTCGCGTGAGGGCGGATTGGAGCACAGTCGCCCCTGATAGTGACATAAAACGCAATGTTCGATGAAGCTATCGGATATCACGATGACGATCTGAGAAGCGCTAAATTACTGTTAAAATAATGAGTCACTAACAGCTACTTACATCAGAATTAAATATATTTTTGTGCACTGAAGGGCTGAGAAACATTCAGCATTACCTCAACATCTTTTTTATAAAGATTACAAAGCCAAAAAAATACATATTTATTTTTTATGTAGGCACACAGGAACAAATACATATTCTTGTTTCATTTTATTTTTTGTTTAGTTATAAATATTGTGCCGTCAGACACGCCGGGTTGTATTTAGTTTGAACACTCACCACAGAACACACTCAGCTTTCACTCCAACACCAGACACTCCATTCTGCACCCTCACATGTCCTCTAAACGGGTCATTTTAGGTTCACTTAGCTGGAACCAAGCCTGTGCTGTACTGTGTAGCACGTCTGGCCTGCTAACTAAGCTACCGTTCGCTTAGCCAAAACACTACAGTCCCAAAAAACACAGACAAGGTTTGATTTCGAGCTGCAGTTAGTCACAATCAGACCTGTACTGCGATGTGAGGCTCCGTTGGGGTCTGTAGCTGCTCGCTAAGGTAGCCTTAAGTTAGTCGATTAGGCTACAGATCCAAAAACCGGTTTGATTTCTGCATTGTGTCCCTTCAGTGCCAGCCAACTTCAGTCCCACAGATCTGAATTATCATCTGAACTCTCAGTGCTTTTGTAAGCCAGTATAGAACATGTTCTGTGCTGAGCAGAGCTGTTACCATGCTAACTAAACTTTTTGATTATTTTCAATCTTGAAGTAATGCAGGATGAGACGCCATGAATGCTTTTATGTAACGGCACTTTTACACTTTTAAATATAAATTAAGTGCTTTGCATACCCTGCCTTTCAGCCCCTCTGCGAACCGGAGCCCCCAGCTTCCTCCTGTCATACGTCATCCTTCCCACAGCCCGAGCCAAGTCCGTGGGGCAGGTGGAGTTCCAGACAGCGCAAACATCACGCTGCTTAGGAGCGAGTACTCCCATCCTCGCTCAGGGCCACGTCCTCGCCTTCATGACTCCTCCTGAGCATGACAGGACTCCTCATAGCTCACCGTGTCAAGTCTGACGCCACTGGGGACGGCGACAGCAGCAACAGCATTTCTCTCAGCCTCCCTCCACTTTCCCCGCCGTCGATGCTGGTGAGGGTGCCTCTTGTGCACACTGGAACCCCAACTCTGCCTCGGCTCCACTGCTGGTGACTGACCTGAGCCTTCTAACCGTCTGATGTGCCTCTCTTGGTGTGTTTGAGCTCACCTGGTCGTAGTAGGGATATTGACGAGCCCGTTTCAGTCAGAACAAATAGCCGCCTGCCATTTATGCTACACGCATCTCAGTCATCTCAGCCAACTTCCATTTCCCCCCGGCTGAGGTTTGCAGTGTCTGTTCTTCCAGCAGCGCCGGCACACTAAGCGCTTGTTCAGGGGCATTCATGCCCCTCTGTCACGTAAAGCTGTGCCGCTCGCCATGGCGCTTCTTTTTCACCAGCTTTGTTCTCTCCAGCTTCTCCATCGTCAAGCCTCGTCGCTCATTCTCCGCTGCTGAGCCTCGCCACACTGTCCCCATCACTGTCTTTTGCCGGGCTCTGCCACCGTCTGCTTTGAAGTTCATCGAATCGCCTTTCCACTCTTTGCCGCAGGGGAGCGCTATCCCACTTCTGACACCACATGTAGCCAAATTGCAAAGAAGGAGACACAGGAGAGGCCGTGATTTCTGCTGTGAGAAGCTCTTTAACACCAGTGGAAAAGGCACATACACAGCCACTGGAACAGCAGGCAGGTCCGTCCTCACCATATGCTTCATCTTTATGGTAAAACTCTAATTAACACTAATTAATCCACAGCCCTACTCAATAACATACAGTAAACTCATACCACATCCTATAGGTGTACGTTTTGTAGTATTTTTAAACCGTAGTGGTTTAACAATGTAAGGATGATAACTTTCATGTTTCTTTAAAGAAACCTGGTGCAGCAGCCCAGACTGGCGGTGTGATTTGCAGAGAAGGTGTAATAGGATTTCAAACAGAATTAAATTATCTAGACAGGTCGGCTTCTCTTTAAGGGCATTTCAGCCACTAACCTCATTGGGAGAAAGTACTGATCGTCCAGCTGCCACTTTCAGAGGAGCAGTGAATGTCCTGCTGCTCTTACGGGAGCAGTGGAATGTCCTTTCATTTAGTGAGGGCTGGTCTTTTAAAGAATTACTATCATTTTCTTGCCTGCTCTGGTAATTTAGTGTCCATGTTTTTGTTTTTTTGTGCTTTTTTTATCACAGTTTTTATTTATCACGATTGTGACTTTATTGGAAATGAATTTAAAACTTGGAAATATACCTTTAGAATCTTCATGAGAACTCTTACCTGGGGACAGGTGTTGGTTATTCTATTTTGTATGAAACCTAGTTTAAGATGGACACCTTTTTGGACAGATGAAAATATGTCAGATTACCTGCACCACTTATAACCTTTGTCTTAGCCATTAAGTAAATCATTAAACTCAACTAAACATGGCTAAACGTCGTTAGAGTGATGGGCTGTCACTGCTGATTGCACTTGGTACAAAAATAGTCCTGAACATAGCTGTGTAGTCTCTTACTGCAGCGCCTCCCAATGTCCGGTCCACCAGCAGCATGTAAAATGACTTAGTCCATATTTTAATATGCTAATTCATGATGTGCAGGTTTTCCACTAATACCCCCAGCACCATAACACATGCAGGAATTTTGAACTTTACACTGGTAACAATCTTAATTTGTATTAGTGGATGCAGCGATGGACAGTGTTTATTGAAAGCCTGTTTTTCACAGTGTTCCTGAGCCCATGTGGCGATATCATCACAGAAACATGCAGATTTTTAATTCAGTGCTGTCTGAGGGGTCGAAGGTCATTCAGTTGTGGTTTTCAGGCTTTTCTTTTACGCATCTGTTGATGATATTATCCACTGTAGAGGGTGAAACACCTAAAATCCTTTTAATCACTCATTGAGGAACATTATTTTTAAGCTGTTGGATTTTTTGCTGATGCATTTTTTGGCAAAGTCCCGACCCATCCTCACTCACAAAGGCCTTTCCTTAATGCTCCCTTTATAACCAAGCATGATTATAGCACCTGATTAAGATGTGTTCTGAACATTTTACAATGTTTCTAGTCTTAAATAGCTCCTGTCACAACTTGTCTGGAATGTGTCGCAGGTACAGTTTCATAATGATCATGTTTGTATGAAATAATTAAGCTGATAAAGTACAACATTAAATTATCTTGTCTTTGTATTGTTTTCATTTAAATACAGGTCAAAGTGAATTTATAAAACATTGCTTTCTGTTTTTATTTGCATTTCACATACTGTCCCAAGTTTATTGGAGTTGGGTTCCGATTTTTATATGTGATTATTAGTACAGGAACCAGCTTCCCATCTGTTTCTCTCTGGAACTCAACTTACGGTACACTTTCTTCAGTGTTAAAGGTGATGAATTTGAACATATACTCTCAGTTTTGGCACAAGCCCACAGAGAAAAGAGCTGTTCTGGAAGTTCTATTCATGTTCTGTCTGTTTATAACTCACTCTCTCTCTCGCTCTCTCTCTCTTCCTCTCTCTCTCTCACTTTCTGTCTCTCTCTCTCTCGCGCTCTCTCTCTTCCTCTCTCTCTCTCACTTTCTGTCTCTCTCTCTCTCGCGCTCTCTCTCTTCCTCTCTCTCTCTCTCGCTCTCTGTCTCTCTCTCTCTCTTTCTCTCTATCTCACTCTCTCCATCCCACCCAGGCCTTCAGCCAGGCGTACTCCATCCAGAGAAAGGTAGCGGAGGATAGCGAGACCACTGAGGAGGTGCTGCTGCAGGAGTCGGCCACTAAGGAGGCGTATTATATGGGTCGTCTGCTGGAGCAGCAGGCCGAGCTCAAAAACAGTCGCTCGCAGGCCTCCAACACACAGGCGGAGAACGAGCGCCTCGAAAACATCCTGCAGGAACTCAGAGAGGTAGAACCGCCGTCCACTGATTCCTACAAATCACAGGGTTCCCACAGGTCCAGGAAAACCTGGAAAACAGCTGACCAATTATCCAGTCATGGAAAATGAGAGAAAAAGTAAAATGCCCTGGAAAATCTTGTGTCTTGGAAAATGATTTCAACATTCTTCTGTTTTCCTTTAGCTAAGAATGAACTGCTAGGCCTTCTGTCAGAGCTCCCCAAAAATGGATAACATTGATCAGGATTGCATTTCAGTCAGTACGCATTTTTAAGCATTTAACATTTACCGACAGTAAGCGGTCAGTACAGCATTTTCCACAGTGAAAACATCTTTTCTGATTGGTTGTCAGCCTCCGCATCACTGCTCAGCTGCATAAAGTTGAGGAGAGCTGAACGTCTTCGCGTCGCTCTGATCGCATGCCTCGCGTCGCTGGCTGTGTCGCCGCCTCCTGTTTAAAACGAATGACGTTGCTGCTGGTGTGAACGCAGGGTTACAGTTTTTGATGACCAGAAGACCAGCTGCATATTTCATTACGAAAGGAGCAGAATTAGTGCTGCTTAATGGGAATTACTGCGGCACACGGTGCAAAATGTTGAATACAAAAAAGTGGCACTTCTGGTTCTATTTTAGAGCCATCTGATATCAGAAAAAAATGGCACATTGTGTATCGTGTAACATTGTTGAAGTGTCGTGATATAATTTTTTCACCTACTGACAAAAAGCCAAAGATCAATAGGAAAGATCCACTAGAGCGCTCAGCCATCGAGCCTGAAATGCTCATTAAGAAGTCTTTTATTATTTTATTTTATTTATTTATTTAATCTTGTGTGGATAAATATCGTATTTTAAAACTTTTTTTTTCAAAAAGTCTTATTTTTTTTTTCAGAGTTTTTGATCCACCAGTAGACGACCCCCCTGAGCCAGAGGGTCCTCAACTAACGTAGATTTGCAGTAGTTTGTCCCATGAATGTTTAACTCACACACAAGGGGCGCACATCAAACATTACAGCATCTGTCATGACAGTAACTTTTAATAGCGACATTTATGGCTGAGCGATATGACAAATTAACTGTTATTGTAATAAATCATGTCACAATATGCTTCTTTGAGATATATCGTGGATATAGTCCCGAAATATGGATAAAAACACGAATAGCCGCATATTTCACTACAAAGAGATTAGAATTATTACAGTTAGTGCTCTTTAATTAGAATTACTGCAGCGCAGGATGTGAAATGTTGAATACAAATTTTGTATTAATTGTTTTTGATAGTATTTTTTAAACATGGCACTTCTGGTTCTATTTTGTCTGTTCCAACTCATGAGATGTCTGAAAAATTAAATTGTGGCATGTTGTGTTTCGTGAAAAGTTCTTAAAGTATATTATATTTGTTCCATATCAACCAGCTTTAGTAACATTACACTGTTACATTACTCAACAAACTCTGTAATGAGGTTCAGTTAAAATCTTTCTGTATCTCACGGTTTGTTTCTCAGAGTAATGAGATCCTGGAGCTCCAGACGAGCAGGATGAGAGAGGAGGTGAGGGAGTATAAGTTCAGGGAGGCGCGGCTGCTGCAGGACTACACTGAGCTGGAGGAGGAGAACATCTCACTGCAGAAACTGGTGTCCACACTCAGACAGAATCAGGTACCTCAGCACTGACACACCGACTCTCTCACGCGTGTAATGGGAAATATTAGACAGTTTAAAGGGAATTTCCACAAATGTTTCTACACAATTAAACAGTGCGGATGTAAACAGAGTCGTTCAGAGCGGTTTGGTGTGAAACGCTCCGTTCTAGATAAACTTACCGAGTCAGAGCTGTTCACAGTGGTGGTGATAGGAACCAGACGTCCACCTCTAAAAGCTCCCTCACAGAAAGTTACTACATGAAATGGTTATGAATTCACTGCCTGATGACTGAGACACTGTTTTATGATAGTTTTGAGAACTTAAACTCCATTCATGGTGGAGGGATACATGCAGGGCGCTGTGAGGCAAAATAGTCCCCAAAGAAAACTTATTATTTCAGATTTTCCACTATTTTCCATCATCAACATTCCATATAGACTCAGAAGACTCGTGTAGGTTCACTGGTGGTTCTGGATAGTAAATAAAATGTCTATATTTGTGTTGTAGTCATGGCGACCCCTGGTTCCTATCACCACCACTGTAAAGACATCTGAACCATTTCACACCAAACCACTCTGAATCACTCTGTTTACATCTCACACACTGAATTATGGTGGAGATTTTGAAAAATTGGTGGAATTCCCCTTAAATTATTGCTTATACTGTATGTCCTTAACTTTACTGATCTCTCCTCTCTCTGTGAGGCGTAAGAACCAGTGTGTGTTTTTCAGGGCTGATACCGATTATTAGTAAGCGAAGGTGACCAAGCATTGACAATGTGGCTGATATTTATTTACCATAAATTTAGTTTTAAAGTGTGAAAATGTACATAAACACAAAACGAACAGTAAATGAACATAAACACTGACACTAAACATTATAAACATTATAAAAATAAAGTACACAAACATTAAAGGCAGTATAAAAGTTTGGAAATGATGATGAGAAAATGACATTTTAAAATGAATCTTTACATTTAAGATCACGAGATGCTGTAAATTGTAATAAGCACTCATATAAAACTTGCGTTAAAGATTATGTAATGCTTCTCTCCATATTGTTATTTCTGCAGTCTGTTATCATTAAGACTGATTCATTAAGCCTTTAGTCTGTTTCATATATTATTAGTTGTAAAACAAGCGTGCAGATATAAATCCACCAACAAACAGTGCTGAAAAAGCACAGATATCCAAAATTACGTTACAGATACAGGAATGTAGGAAGGAGAGAAGCTGTTTTCTCTCATCCACAGTGTGTTTATCACTCTCACCAGATAATTCTGCTGTCTAGGGCAGTTTGTGAGCTGCATGCATGAGTGCTGTTTGTTTAGATACTGTGAAAAACACATCACAACAAAAATCGACTCCAAAATCTACCAACAGAGAGTGCGAGTTATATTACTGAGTCGTGCTTTATGCCCAACGACTGCACTGCTCGTTACCTGAGTGACTCCCTAATTCACAGGTCAGGTGAGAAAAGAGAGTTTAATTGGTTTCATTCTCAACACCTGGTCCAGGGCTGCGTTCAGCCCCAAGTAAGCGTAGAAAAACGTTTAATTAAACGGAAAAGGTGGAGCGTCGAACAAGCTGTGCAACTCCAGCAGCTGGGAAGGCCATTCCTGGAGCTCTTTTCAAAGAATTAAAAGAATCTGAATCTGGCTTTAACAAATGAATCTAACGAACACACTTTCAGAAGTCTTCAGTAACTGTGTACACCAAGCTGCAGCGGCCGCATGTGCAGAGACTTTATTAGAATCTATTGTGTGCTGCATTTTTAATACAGCAGTGTTTATATACATGTCGCTGCTGATTGGGTAACACCTCTGACACGCCCACCAATCAGGAGAAAACACCTCAAAGCTGCTGCACACCGTTTCACACTGATTTGAAACCCACGTTTCAACCTATCAATAACACTTTGCGTTGGCCATTGAGGCTACTGACGTTTTGATTGGTTGTACTTGAAGCATCACACATATTTTGACCAATCCAGTAAGGCTGTGGGAGGGACCCTGAGCCAGGAGAGTTTCTTTTAGTTGGGGCTGCCATGGAGAAGGGCAGAATTCACATATAAGCTTTTTATTGGCAATAAAAATACATTAAAATGCCAATTCTGATGATCAGGACAATCAAAATGATTATCAATCATCAAAATGGTTATAGGTGAGTTATCACTTTTATAAACTGCAGTACAGTACAATTTGATAAAGTATACCAATAAACAATGAATAATGTAATTAATAGTTAATAATAATCCAAATTAATAGTTCTTCTGCCAAGCAGTGTTGATTGTTAGCGATAGTTTATGGTTCCCAAGCAACATTTAACCCTCACGTTATCTTTGGGGTCAGTTTGACCCCCTTCAATGTTTAACGTCTCTAAATAAATGATTGACATTTTTTTGCTTCATATTTAATGACATTTCCTCATTTGATGGGGTCAAATGGGTGAAGGTTAAATTAACACAGTTTTCAGTGTCCTGTACACATTTTGTGTGCATCGGTGTTCTTTGGGGTCAGTTTGAGCCCAGGATGTTTTAGCTGCCTATAACATGAGAAATATCAGCATTTTACACACATTTCTTTTGGTGGTTTTGGATGATATTGAGGTCAGTATAACATACAATTTTATAATCTTCATAAAACTTTCCTCTGCTCTAGGGTCCTGACCTGACCACACCTGTAGCACACCTAACCTAACATAACCACACCTGTAGCACACCTAACCTAACATAACCACACCTGTAACACACCTACCCTAATATAACCACACCTGTAGCACACCTAACCTAACATAACCACACCTGTAGCACACCTAACCTAACATAACCACACCTGTAACACAGCTAACCTAACCACACCTGTAACACACCTAATCTAACATAACCACACCTGTAACACACCTAACCTAACCTAACCACACCTGTAACACACCTAACCTAACATAGCCACACCTGTAACATACCTAACCTAACATAACCACACCTGTAACACACCTAACCTAACGTAACCACACCTGTAGCACACCTAACCTAACGTAACCACACCTGTAGCACACCTAACCTAACATAACCACACCTGTAACACGCCTAACCTAACCACACCTGTAACACACCTAACCTAACATAACCACACCTGTAACATACCTAACCTAACATAATCACACCTGTAACACACCTAACCTAACCTAACCACACCTGTAACACACCTAACCTAACATAACCACACCTGTAACACACCTAACCTAACATAACCACACCTGTAACACACCTAACCTAACCACACCTGTAACACACCTAACCTAACCTAACCACACCTGTAACACACCTAACCTAACATAACCACACCTGTAACATACCTAACCTAACGTAACCACACCTGTAACACACCTAACCTAACATAACCCCACCCGAAACACACCTAACCTAACCACACCTGTAACATACCTAACCTAACCTAACCACACCTGTAACACACCTAACCTAACTTAACCACACCTGTAGTAGTGCGAGAGTTCACACCACATGGGGGCGGAGAACAGAACTCAGTTTGGGGGCAGTTGTGGGCTGAAGGTTAGGGAACCAGCCTTGTGACCGGTACAGCATTTTCCAAAGTGAGAACATCTTTTCTGATTGGTTGTCACCCTCCGGGTTCCCTGAGCCGACAGTACGTGACTGAAGTGCCGTTGAGCAAGGCATCCAACCCCCAGCAGCTCCCTGGGTGCTGTGGATAGGGCTGCCCACTGCTCCGGGCAAGTGTGCTCACTGCCCCCTAGTGTGTGTGTTCACTAGTGTGTATGTGGTGTTTCACTGCACAGATGAGTCAAATGCGGAGGTGAAATTTCCCCGTAGTGGGATACGGCTAATAAGGTTCACTTAATCTTAATCTTAATTCCCATCAGAACTTTAATAGGTTTAAATTGCTGGGGTCAAATTGACCCCAAGGATAAAAGATGTTAGTAAATTTGACGATAACAGGAGGTTAAATAACCTGGTGTATTACTATAGGACTCAGTTGATGTGAGCAGCACTCAAAAGAGTATTTTACTGTGACTCTGAATGTGATTCAGCCAGACACTCAAAACTATCCATCTCACAAAATGCTAGGGATACACAGTGGTATTGAAAATGTATCAGTATTGGCACACATTAAATGGATCTTCACATTTGGCTGATATTTCAGACTAATTCCATGAGAGCAGGACGTATATACAGATTTAGTCTCAATTTCTGCTTTTTATAAATGGTTATGTAATAGGATCATAGGATCGCAGACATGAACATGAAAAAGATCAGCCCACTATTCGTGTTGAAATTTTTGTATAGATCTGAATTAGAACTGAATTAACCCGAACCTGTGTGGGCTGTTTCTCCCATAAAGGTGGAGTACGAAGGCCTGAAACATGAGATCAAGGTGCTGGAGGAGGAGACAGCTTTGCTGAACAGCCAGTTGGAGGACGCGCTGCGCCTGAAGGACATCTCGGAGAGCCAGCTGGAGGAGGCTCTGGACGCTCTGAAGAGCGAGCGCGAGCTGAAGAACAGCCTCCGTAAAGAGCTGGCCCAGCATCTCACCGTGTGCGATGGAGCCTTCGCTTCGGCCAGTGCCCACCTGCTGGCCCTCAGCTCGGCGCCCCCCAGTGGCAGTGCCACCCCCACCGCTGCCAGCTCTCCGGGCAGCGAGGACGGTGGCAAATGCAACGGGCTACTGCTGCAGGGCGCAGCCGGCGCGGCACTGACCCGACTCAACGGGGAGTTCAGAGCAGCGGGGTCGAAGAAGAGTGAGTCAATGACTCCCGACCTCTTCAGCGAGATGAACCTCACTGAGATCCAAAAACTCAAGCAGCAGCTTCAGCAGGTAACATACTCACACCGAGCCCCTCAGACGGTCTTTAAGAGGGTTTATTTTTTGGGAAATGAAGCTCTGGACCCTCTTATCTGTGTTCACTTAGCAGGTAAAAGCAGCCTGATCTTTTTCTTCAAGTGTGGCACAAGTGTGTGTCTGTGTGGCAGTGTGAACAGCAGAAGCACTGAATCCGACAATTTCAGATTTGAGACACTTTCATATGTGGTACAGAAATCCGATACGTATCCGATCTGTGGCAGTGCGACTCAGTCTGAACAGCCAGATCGGAATTCATGCGACTTTTACGTCAATCCAGCTTAACATTCTTCGTCATTTCACGCTGCTGAGACTCATAAACGTTTAAGCTGTTGTTTCGTATATTATATACAATTATACATTTTTATATACAAAAAATGATAAGGCACGTATCACAACCGCTCCGTGTTCAAAGAGATTTTGAAAGAAACGTCCGAACGCAGCCGTAGGAGAACGAGGCTGCAGCGTCAAAGAACAGTTGAAGTCTGAAAGCTAATTTAAAGAACCCGAGGACACGAACCAAATAAGTGACCGCGCCCTTTTTATGGTAAGCTGAACACATTCTGTGTGATGAGCTCAGCTGTCAGTCAGTAAAGCTTCATGATGGCTCCTGTGATGCTGGTAGCCTAAAGCTACGTTCACATTACCAGGTTGAAGTGGCACAAATCTGATTTTTTACCCCAGTGTGACTCAGATCTGATGTTTTCAGAGCTGTGTGGACACAAATCTGATCTTTTTCAAATCCGACCTGAGACACATTGTGGTCCTAGATCAGATACGTATCTGATTCGTGGCTGTGCGACCTTAGTGAGAAGCTCAGATCAGAACCCGTGTGTTTTTCCATTGCTCGCTCCATCATTCAGCGTTACCATGGCAGCAGCACCAAACAGAAGTTAAAGCCTGTAAACGGTGGAAAAGCAGCTCATCTCACCTTTTTCTCCTTCGTCTCGCTCTAATAATGAAGCTGAGAGCTGATCAGAGTTAATGATCTTCTCAGCGAAGCTCGTTCTGCTCGTTAGTTTGTGCTGATGATGAACGTGATTCATTCACGTGACGTTACTGAGTAGGATGAGCTCATGAGGGTCATTTCAGGACGCCGGTTCGTCACATTAATGACCGATTAATAAGTTTCTTACCTAAACTAGTGAGAACTATCATGTCAGAGAGATCAGATCTGAGAAAAACATCAGATTTTAGCAAGAAGACTTGTAATGTGAACATAGCCTTACATGTGGTACTGAAGTCTCATACATATCTGAAGCTCATTCTGAACAGACAGATCAAAATTCTGGCGACTCTTACCTCATTCATCGTGATTTTGTGATGCCAAGAAGGAAAGATGGATGGCAACAGCGAGGGAGGATTTCAGTGGTGGGACTGTGAGATAACAGACCTCATAAACATTTCAATACAAACAAAATTAGATAACGTTTATCCAAACCGCTCCAGATTCAAAGGGATTTAGAAAGGAATGGCCGAACGCAGCTGTAAGAGAACGAGGCTGCAGCGTCAGAAGAGTTCAAAGCAAAGTTTAAAGAAACTGAGGACACAAACCAAAGAAGTGGCTGTGGCTGAATAACAAGCTCGGACGCATTCTGGGTGATGAGCCCGGCCGTCAGCTGTTGGAACTTCTTTTTAGCTCCTGCGATGCTGGAGAAGATGAAACTGAAACTTTCACTGATATTGACCCTCTGTGGTCTGAGGTCATTTTCTGGATTTGTTCACATATGTTTCATATCTAAATGCTCCGTTATCTTCATCACTACTTTCCAAAACCGCTGCAGCAGCTTCAGCAGCTGTAAACTCTCTGCACGCCGTTTCACATGAGTCTCCGATGTGGACTGAATGAAGAATGAAGGGTTTCCGGCGTGATGGTCAGTCCTTGGTGATTTCCTGAGTGTCCATTGGTCAGTTTCACACAGAATGTAGACGGACACACCAATCCACCAGTTCCACACGGTGAGAGGCAGATGACGTGTATCTCAGCCCCTCTTCATAGGCTCATAACTCCGGATGTGAGTCTCGTATGATCTCGAGATACGATGGAATGGAAAGGGCGACTCTACAGATTCAGGGAGTGTTTGAACTGGATTTCTGTGCTGAATCATCACAAACATACAGACACAGATACAGACACAGAGAATTTGATGAGCGGTTGTGTCTCTTACTGTTGACTCCATTTTGATTGTTTATTGGGCTGCATTTACCTGCTGTGTGAACGTAGCCTTTGTGTCTTTGTATTAGGCTGGAGTAAATGCATTGCGTTGCTAATAACAGTGAGGGAGGGACAAACACTGCTGCACTGGGTTTTGGGCATTGGATCTGTTTATAGTTGGATGCTGCAGTGAAACTGGAGCCATAAAATACGCACTCCCATACATACAGACTAATGGGTCACGCTACGAGACTATTTATAACCTCCCGGACACAAGAGATCAATGACTGCTGTCTCTAGTTCGCAGTCTTTCTCATACGCGTGGTGGATTCTGTGAATATCCAGCCTAAAGTAATTAATAATACAGGTATATAAGCACAAACCCAAATCCAGGAGGTTACATTTGAAGCAAAACAGAAAGAAGTGATTTATCAAAGTATCTTTTACAGGTGTTTAACTGAAAACCGCACAAAGAAGATATATTTAGTATTTTACCTTATCAACTTTAGATTTTTTAAAATGTACACTAATTCCAGAGGCTGCAACGTGTTCCGAAAAAGACAGCGGAAAGGTAAGTTTGTGGAATGATAAAAAACCCGTTTTAGAACTTTTCACAGGTAAACAGGTGAACACGTAACAGGTGATGCCATCATGATTAAGAGGTAAAAAGTAGCATTCACGAAACGTTCAGTATTTACAGATGCAGTATTTCATTTTTATCTGAATCATCTCTTTTCACTTTCTGCTACTGAAAGGTGAAAAGAGAGCAGTAAATTTCATTTTCGAACACAGTTTCCATCTCAAACAGTATGACATTCTGACACATCAGGGGTGTTATGAAAACAACAAAACTTCTGTCCAAACTTTAATATTTTTTTTTTAATTTATCAATTACGATTTGGCTTCCAAAAATATGAAAACAAAATAATCAAACAAAACAATTATTGTGCCGCATTCTGATTTGCAACAATGCTCTCGTTTTGTCTTGTGTTATAAATCCAGCGCACCCTTTTCCTTTATATCGCTCCTCTTTAAAAGCTAATTTAATCTAATTTTAAAAATGAAATTTATTTTGTCTAATTTATTTTTATTTATTATTTTAATATATGTTTAGCAGTTTTCAGGAGGTTGTGAAAGTGCATTACCACGTAGATGATCTTATTTATTTTGATTTTATTTATTTTGATTTTATTTATTATATTCATATTATTTTTAAATGCATAAATATGTGTATCATATATTATTTATTTATCTTTTTTATGTTTATTTTTGCTGTTTGTTTTTTAGCCAAATTAAATTTAAAGTTCAATAAATGCATGATTTTTCCAAAGTTGATGAGTAATCATGTTAACTAATCATGTTTTCAGTATCATGCAAAATGATCGTGAGTATGATTTTTGCCATAATTTAGCAGCCCTAGGCACTATAACACCTTTAGAGGGCAGCAGTGAGTAATGTGTGTTTATTTGAGCTGTTTCCGTCTTCTGATGTCAGTTGGGAGCTACTAAGCATTGACTGTGCACAAAATAGCTAAATCAGCCAGTTTGCCTACTGTAAGGTTGCACTTTCATAGTTGCATACAGTAATTAAAATGGTTTATAAGGAAGTTAATCTAAAATTTCATGATTGCCACAGGCCTGAGAAGTGCTATGAAAATCTGTGCCCATGTGGATCGTAATTAGTAGTTGCACATGAAAAACAAGGCAACTAAAGTGTGTCATCTTGACATAAAATGACTGTAAACAAACTTGGCTGATGTCAGGATGCGCTGCATGTTCTGCTTTGCAGGTGGAGCAGGAGAAAGTGTCTGCGCAGACCAGCCTGCAGGAGTGCCAGACGCAGCTGCGGCACGCACAAAGCGCCCTGACAGAACAGCACGAGAGAGCATGGCGGCTCCAAGAGCGCGTCCGCACCCTCCGCCGGCAGGGCGGCGCCTCGGAGGCCAACAGCGGGGAGGAGGAGCCGGAGATGAAGAGCCCCTCATGGGTGTCCAACAGCCTGCAGGGTTTGGGTGTGGAGCTGCTGCAATGCAAGTACAGGCTGGCGGTGACGGAGGTGGTTGGCCTGAAAGCGGAGCTGAAGGAGCTGCAGGAGAGGCACAAGGAGTGCATGGAGGGGGCGACACGGGTGGAGGAGCGAGCTCAGGGCCAGCTGCGGGCTCTGGAGGCCCAGGTGGCTCGTCTGGAGCGCAGCTGCAGGGAGGCGAGGGACAAGGCGGTGAGACTGGAGCGAGAGCTGCAGGCGGCGAACAGCGCTGTCTCAGAGAACCACAGCGCGTTGGCCACGGCCCAGGAGGAGCTGGCCACCTTCAGCGAGGAGCTGGCGCAGCTCTACCACCACGTCTGCTTGTGCAACAACGAGACGCCCAACCGCGTCATGCTGGACTACTACCGGCAGGGCCGCGCTCCGCTGCGTGCTCCCCCCGCTGGCCTGAAGGCGCAGGAAGAGCACCGGGTCCTGCTGACGCCACGGCTAGCACGCCGCCTGGCCTCCATCAACGCTGCCACGTCAGCCTCCACGCCGAGCGACTCTCGAAGCCCCTCAGAGTCGCCTTCCAAAGAGCCCCTCAATGCGGAGGACAGCCCGGTCCGCACGCCGCTGGGCTCCCCTGCCATCAGTGCCTCGTCGTCGTCCTCTTCCTCGTCTCCAGCGCCCGAGTCGTCCACGGGCTCCGAGCCCCGGCGGGAGCCCTCGAACATCCACCACCTCAACGCCATCATCCGGGACCAGATCAAGCACCTGCAGAAGGCTGTGGACCGCTCGCTGCAGCTTTCTCGCCAGAGGGCAGCCGCCCAGGAACTGGCACCTATGCTCGACAAGGACAAAGAGGCCTGCATGGAGGAGATCCTCAAGCTCAAATCCCTGCTGAGCACCAAGAGGGAGCAGATCGCCACCCTGCGCCTCGTCCTCAAAGCCAACAAACAGGTCGGTGATTTTCACCAGCTGGCTGAGGAAAACAGCCAGTCAAGTTACCTTTATTTATATAGCACATTCAAAAGACAACAAGTGTGCAACAAAGTGCTGCACAGTAAAACCAGCCAAAATAACCACCAATGGCCACTCAGCACAAGGAATTCAAAGAGGAAAATAACAAGCAGATAAAAATTCATTACAAACACAAAATAGCTGAGCTGCTGACAGAACAAACCGAGACAGATGACTGAATACAGTCTCTAAAAGGACTCGGACGTCTGAGAGAATAAATCGGTTTTTAAATTTGACTTACAAATGCCTATTGTGGGGGTTCCTTTATGAAAATTTTGAGAGTTCAGGAGTCGTTTGCATGGTTTGTAGCATAATAACTGTCATTATTATGTTACATTTAAGACAAAACCTTTCATCAGTTTTCATTTTATCACTATCTGGCCACCTTTTTTATTACAGTGTAGCGTATAAATAATAAATAAGAGATAAGAGGAACAAAATAAGATGAAAATGCACAGATATTTGAGAAAGTTATGTTCACAAAGGCAAAGGTGTGTGTGTGTGTTTGTGTGTGTGTGTGTGTGTGTGTGGGTGTGTGTGTGGGTGTGTGTGTGTGTGTGTGTGTGTGTGTGGGTGTGTGTGTGGGTGTGTGTGTGTGGGTGTGTGTGTGAGTGTGTGTGTGTGGGTGTGTGTGGGTGTGTGTGTTTGTGTGTGTGGGTGTGTGTGTGTGTGTGTGTGTGGGTGTGTGTGGGTGTGTGTGTTTGTGTGTGGGTGTGTGTGGGTGGGTGTGTTTGTGTGTGTGGGTGTGTGTGTGTGTGTTTGTGTTTGTGTGTGTGTGTGTGTGTGTGGGTGTGTGTGTGTGTGTGTGTGTGGGTGTGTAGCTGGAGAAACTTAGAGTTTAAGGTGGGGTGATCTGCATCATATAACTCCCCAGACAGCACATTTGACACGGCCCAATCTGGGCCACATCCGGCATTTACTTGCGGCCCACATGCTGGAACGATGGCCCAGGAGAGACCCAGATGAGGTTACCAAAACCCACCCTGTTTACTGCCATTAGAGGGCCGTATTTCAGCCCCTTTTAAACCAGCACTGCCAGAACTGACCCACCACTCAGAACCACCAGCACAAAAAACAGACCGTTACAACAGCTGCCCTGCTGGGTGGGACTTCCAGTGTCACACAGTGCCAGCAGGCTTAGGGAATGGAGGTTGGCAGGGCTTCACCCTCTTTGACTACCAGCTGCAGACGGCTGTGATGTTGATGTGATTTGAACTCGTGCCCTCCTGATGATGGAGTGAATGTTTAGCCTACTGCACCACTCTGATACTCCTGTTTATGCGCCTGCCTTTCCAAAATAAGCCAACATGTCTAAAATGTTCACTAAGATTTGATTTCATTTAAAGTAACGCAGCTGTCTTAAAAGTTAAGGTCGAACGTCAGATCAGTTTTATTATCTGATGTTCAGTTAGCACAAAATTTTAAGCAGCCACAAATCGTATTAAACTGCAAACTAGGATATGTAGTCGCGTTCCTAGTACTGAGACTGTGTTGGATCAGGGGTCACAACCCAAATGATAGGAAGAGCCATTTTGTCCTTTCAACAAAAAATCAACCTTGGGATCAACGTTGGGAGCCACAACATTTTATGTCTATTTTATTGAAGTAATGTTTCACCATCTTGGCTGTAAATCTCAGTATGTGCTGATGTACTAGTATAGGCCAAAAACCACAATATAAATGAAAACACAGACTTACTTTGCTCTGCTTTAAGCTTCAGCTCAGCTATAGCTGCTTTTCTCACATCTCTGGCAGGAAACTTTTCTTCAAAAGTAAAACAGTTTCTTGCAAAATGTCTGTCATTGTTTAACTTTCTACGAGGCTGAAGTTGCTTCTCATTCGCCAGCTTCTTGTTCAAATCTTCCCGTTCCACTTTAAGTGGTGCCTGAGGCGCTGCAACATTTAAGGTGGAACGTGAAAAATCCGAACCAACCGGCGAACAAGAAGTTGACTTCAGCTTCACGACTTTTCAGTGTTTGTCAGTTTCTCGCTGCAGATTAAACGTATCGGGAAACCAGCTGGAGTGATTATAAACACAAATAAGTCCATTCGTCTCCAAATTATCGATGTCCACATATCCAGAGTTCCAACAGCAAGGGGGGCTACACTGACCACTAGAGTCACTTTGCTAGCCCTAAAAGAGTCCTTAGCCGTAGGGAAAGTCTCACTCCACAACTACGGTGCGTCACACAGGCGTCCGGCCCGGGACACCTTAAAGGCTGAAAATGTTCTTAGCCGTGAAGGGTTAGCATTTTCCTGCACCCAAACACCACCAGCCCAGGCAGCCATGTAGCTGCAATATACTGTTGCATAGGCAGTCGGCCCAAGAGCCTCACAGCCATGGTGTAGCGCTGCTCGCACAGCCGGACACTACCAGTCCAGGCAGCCCCACAGCTGCAGTGTAGCGTCATCCAAGCAGTTGGCCCAAGCAGCCACATAGCTGCGATGTAGCATCGATCAGGTCCCGGTCCAGGCAGCCTCGTAGCCACAAGACAGCATCACCCAAGCGGCCAGTCCAGGCCTCATCACAGCTGAGCTGCAGCACTACCCAAAAGGCCTGGGCAAGAAGCCACCAAGCCGCGGTTGGAAGATCGCTCTTGGCCGCTATCTTGGTGGAATGATGGCAAACTCCTCAGCCAGCAGGGAAACATCAAAGCATACACACAAACAATACAAAACAAAACAAACAAAAAAAGGTGTCAAGCAGCAGCCATATTGTGCCAGCATATGCACACACACACGTACGCACACGTCTCAGTAACCTGTCTTTTCTTTGCCTTTTCGTTAGCCACCAGCTAGGCCAGATTGCTGTCTGCGTTGCTATGGCGACCAGCGGTCTGCGCTGATCTTCAGGGTTAAAGGGTGAAATAGCAGTTATACATTAATTCCAGAGTTTAAGACCATTTTTTGTTGGAATATATTAGATATATTAACTACATTTAAGATGTTTTCACTTGCTATAATTTTTTGCAGTGAAAATGATGAGAGAAATTACTTGATAAAATCACTTAAAACAAGTAAAAATGTCTAGAAGTAACTTATAATATTCTTCTAACAATCTCAACTTGAGAAATAGTAGATATATAGACTATATTTAAGATAATTCTGCTTGATTTACTTGTTTTTTTGCAGTGTTCTCCTTTTTACTGGTACCAGTCAGGAGTCTCACAGCTGCGTTTTGGTCAGCTGTAGGCGTCAAGCTCGACTGACAGAATCCCAATACAGCGAGCTGCAATAATCGATACGTGAGGAAATAAAAGCATGAATAACTTTCCAGGTTTCTTCACCCTCTGAGTCATTTTCTGGATGTGTTCATCTCTTCTTAAACTCTCCTTTAAAGGCTCTTCATATATCATGATCCTCATATGTTTCATATCTAAATGCTCCGTTATCTTCATCACTACTTTCCAAAACCGCTGCAGCAGCTTCAGCAGCTGTAAACTCTCTGCACGCCGTTTCACACGAGTCTCCGATGTGGACTGAATGAAGAATGAAGGGTTTCCGGCGTGATGGTCAGTCCTTGGTGATTTCCTGAGTGTCCATTGGTCAGTTTCACACAGAATGTAGACGGACACACCAATCCACCAGTTCCACACGGTGAGAGGCAGATGACGTGTATCTCAGCCCCTCTTCATAGGCTCATAACTCCGGATGTGAGTGTCGTATGATCTCGTGATAAGATGGAATGGAAAGGGCGACTCTACAGATTCAGGAAGTGTCTGAACTGGATTTCTAAAATGGATCATCAAAGAGACACAAACAGATACAGAAACATTTTGTTTGTTAAGTGCTTGTTATTGTCCTCTTCAAATGGCAGCCGTGTTTTTCCTTCTGTTTTTCCTTCTGGAAGTCTCTAAGGTTGCGGATCTGCTCTCCAGGTTCGCTGCAGTGCCCGGTGATGAGTAATGCATTCCGATGTTGAGAAAGGCTTTTATGTGAAGGGCTTTCTCCGTCTTCTTGTCTAGTGCTTTGTGATTAAAAGCGCTCAGTGGCCTCTGCGCTCCCGCAGTGATTAATGGGAGTGGCGATTTATAGATTTGCCCACTGGAGGGGAAAGTGCTGGGCTGCATGGGAACTCAGTGTAATTACGAGCTCCATTAACGTGTGCTACACTGTTTTCAGTTCAGTTCAGTGGAAAGACCAGGATGAGGTTGAGCTGCTCTGTTTCATTCTGTTTAATGTAGCTCAGAATCATGAATCTGGCGTGGTCTTTGGAAAACAGGGGTATTAAACCAAGCAGAGCTTACAAAGTGAAATAATTACACTGCAAAAAAATCTCAGCACTACAACTTAAATGTAGTTAATACATCTAATATTCCTCGTTTTGATTATTCCACCTGTTTCTAGACGGGTTTTAAGCCATTTTATGGGAGAGAGAACTGCGAAAATAGCATATTGTCTACGGAATTATCTTAAAAATAGTCAATATATCTGTTTCTCAAGTTGAGATTGTTGGAAGCTTTTTATATGATTATTTCTAGACATTTTTACAAGTAAAAACATATTAAATATAGTTAAAATGTCTAATATTTCTCATCGTGAGGCTGATGTAAGAATATTGTAAGATCATTTAACTTGATTCTAAAGGTTTTTACTTGTTTTAAGTAATTTTATGTTATGTTAAAGCGTCTTAAACTTTAAACAGATAAAACTGAGAGTTTACTGGGTAACTTAGCAACTGAATCAGGTGATTGGTTTAACATGAAGCTCAGGTATAAAGGTTATAGACACATGTTCACACTGTCTCAGCAACCTGATTGGACAGGATCCCCCAAAATAGCATTATGTGCTACTTGTTTATCAGTGATATTTTTCCAGTACCTTGTAGTCTATAGTTCTGTTAAAAATCATAATAATGTCATAATTTTAATTATCTAGGGTTAGTTTTAAAAGGTGCAGTGTGATTTAGTGGTATCTAGTGGTGAGGTTGCCAATTGCAACCAACTGAATCCCTCTCCCTCACCCCTCCCTTTTTAAGTGTGTAGTACATTTCGTTTTTCTTCCTGTTTTCTCTTCTCTGTCTGTGAGGATTCTCCCTCTCTCACTTCTCTTGTGCTGAATAATAAATCTGATCCTCCTTTCGTCAAAATTTGGGTTCTCAAACTTCTCACAGCACAGAATGGTCAGCAGAACCAGCAGCTCCACTGATTCTTCTTTCTACATCTTCCAGCCGGAGCTACAGCGCCAACTAATTCAAGCTGCTGCTTCAGTGTAAAAGCGTGAAAAGCGCCCTCTAGAGGCAGAGTTTGGTTTGTCTGTTCTGGGCTGCTGTAGAAACATGGTGGCGCAGCATGGCGCCTCTGTTGAAGAGGAGCTGCTGTTGATATGAAGGGTCGTTCTAGTAGAATGAAAACACAGCGATTCAGAGTTACGGCTGATTATACAGTAATGAGAACATGGCTTTGTACTATAGTCCATGTCTGATAATAGATCCCCCAAAATCTCACACACTGAACCTTTAAAGTGAAACACAGCATTTGCTCTTCAATTCTTACAGAATATTATAATATTCCAAATAATGTTTGATAAAACATTCTAAACTGTAAACATTCCTTAGTTGTAGCCCTCAAGAACACAGCAGCTCAATTCCCAGACAGTGAGGTTCTAAAACGAATTTCGTGTTTGTGTAACTGAAGTACGTTTATAAACCGGTGTAAACCTGGTTTCTGCTGCATGTGACAGACTGCAGAAGTGGCCCTGGCCAACCTGAAGAGCAAGTATGAGATGGAGAAGAGCATGGTGACCGAGACCATGATGAAGCTGCGTAATGAGCTGAAGGCTCTGAAAGAGGACGCTGCCACCTTCTCCTCCCTCAGAGCCATGTTCGCCACACGGTAATGTCACAGCATCATGAAGCTCATCAGTGCCAGGTTACAGGTTATGATATCATGAGAGAGAGCGCTCAAAAGTAGCCTTGGAAAGTGTCTCTTTCCTTTATGTACGTCAGTATGTAGTATTTTATGTAGGTCAGTATTTAGATTTTTATGTAGGTCAGTATTTTGTATTTTATGTGGGTCAGTATTTAGTATTGAAAAAGTTTGGGCACCCCTGATTTAAAGATACATTTTTTCTTCTTTATTTTTAATAACCCAAATTATCTGCTAGTAGGATATAATTGTCAGAATGCTTAGTTTGAGTAATTTTTGTATCAGATATTGGTCAATACTCAAGATTTTTATACCGGTATTAGAGAAGAAGTGGTGTTGTGTCAGCGCTGTTTTTTAAAATATCCCAGCGATTTGACACAAAGCTGAATAATGAATTCAGTACAGCAGCAGTAACGTATTTGATGGTGTGCAGCGTCTCGCTCTCTCTCTCTCTCTCTCTCTCTCTCTCTCTCTCTCTCTCTCTCTCTCACATACTCTCTCCCTCTCCCTCTCTCTCTCTCACTCTCTCTCACTCTCTCCCTCTCCCTTTCTCTCTCTCTCTCTCTCTCTCTCTCTCACACTCTCTCTCTCTCTCTCTCTCTCTCTCTCTCACTCTCTCTCACACTCTCTCCCTCTCCCTTCCTCCCTCTCTCTCTCTCTCTCTCTCTCTCTCTCTCTCTCTGCCTCCAGGTGTGACGAGTACGTCACTCAGCTGGACGAGATGCAGAGGCAGCTGGCGGCGGCCGAGGACGAGAAGAAGACCCTGAACTCGCTGCTGCGCATGGCCATCCAGCAGAAACTGGCCCTGACTCAGCGCCTGGAGGACCTGGAGTTTGACCACGAGCAGTCGCACCGCCCTCGCAGCGGCAAGACGTCCAGACTGAGGACCGCCACTCCCAAAGTAAGTGGAACAGAAACCTCGTCCCTCACCAACACTCCGTCCACAGTAGACGAGGTGCTGGCTGCGGCTTCCGCCGTCACGTCTCCCACGGAGCCCGCCCGCGCCCTCCTCAGCCCCTCGCTCCCGTCCGACCCGGGCAGCCCCCCCTTGCTGGAGGCCCCTTCCTCCCCTGCGTCCTCCTTATCCGCCTCATCCTCCTGGACTCCCCCGGCCGTGCCTTACCGCGCCGGCCACTGTCACTGGACGGTGGGGATGCGGGCATACGTGGTGGAGCCGCACTCCTTCGGTGTGGACTACACTCAGCTGTCCCGCGCCACCAGCCTGGCCCGCCGCTACGTAAGCGAGCCGCACTGCTCCTCCGGCTCCGCCCCTTCCTCGCCCTATCGTTCGCCCGTCCTGGGCACCCACCGCTCCGTCTGGAGCTCGCCCAGAACTCGCCCACTCCCCAGCGTCCTGACGCGCTCCACCCACTCCACCCACTCCACCAGATACACCTCCCCGTCCCCATCCACGTCCTACAGCTCGCTGTACACCAGAAACTACAGCTCCCAGCACCACCGCTACTGACCGGCCTGGCAGGGTGGCGCAGAGAGGAGGACAGACTGGTTTCCTGCTTTTCTTTCGTAGTTCCTGGTGCACTTGACACGTTTGTTGACTGTTTTCCGCTCAGGGATCTTTTTTGTGGAGCACAAGTGGCCCTGCCTTCCTCTAAGATACTGCAGATCAGCTCTCAGGACTGTGTTCTCTGTCTCTCACCTCTCATGCTCTGTTCATTCTGAGGAGAACGTAGGTGTATGTGGAACTTTCGGTACCTGGAGGGTCTTTTTTTAAAGGGGAATTCCTACATAAGTATATCATTAAGGCGTAAACAAAGTCATTGAGAGTGGGAGTGATAGTAACCAGACGTCATCCTCTAAAAGCTAAAGCTGTACTTATGTAATATATTCATGGCGGAGATGTTGTGAGACAAAATAGGCCCCAAAGAAAACTTATTATTTCAGATTTTCCACTATTTTCCATCATCAACATTCCATATAAACTCAGAAGACTCGTGTAGGTTCACTGGTGGTTCTGGATAGTAAATAAAATGTCTATATCTGTGTTGTAGTCATGGCGACCCCTGGTTCCTATCACCACCACTGTAAAGACATCTGAACCATTTCACACCAAACCACTCTGAATCTCTCTGTTTACATTTCACACACTTAATTATGCAGAAATTTTGAAAAATGGGTGGAATTCCCCTGTAAATGGACCTTACTTTAGCTGAGTTGGTTTTAGGCACTTTGTAAAAAACAACACAATTCACAGGTTTGAAGTGTTGAATGCGTAAATATGCACTGCAGAATCCCTCGCTGTAACAGCCGTCTGAGCTTTTTTACTGCTGTCGCTTGCGTAGCGCTTCTTTTACGATTGTGAATAGTGAGCGAGGCCTTTCTGTCAGCTAACCTCTCTTCACTTCTGTCTAAGCAAAACTGCATCCAGTTTTGTTTCGTAGGGCCGTCAGTACGTACTGTTTTACCGATATATCCTCTGCAGCTCATGTTTCCAGAACCTTTGTGTTTATTCGGTAATCTGTTCAGGATCAGCATGACGTCCGTAATCTAAGGAACAGCTTGGCTAACCATGAATGGAGGCTAGTAGTCCTCAGTTAGCATGATATCATTTGTAAAATGCTTATTCGCAGCTTTAAATCTTTGTTAGCACTGTTAGCATTAGTGATGCACCGAAATGAAACTGATACTGAAATTTAGGACACACTCGGCTGAAAACCAAAATAATGGGTTCTTTATGCATGATTTGCCATGTTATTTACCTTTTTAAAGAAAATTAATGCTAATGATGCTTCAAAGCCTGTATTCGCCATGTTGGGTAAGAGAACTTAGAGAACTGGAGGACTGACTTTGAACAGGTTGCTAAATAATATTAAACATTAAAAGCAGTAAAATTATGAAAACGTAACACTTTATGGCTTCTAAAGCTGAATTTCAGAGCGCGTACGTAACGATCTTCTGCTTCAAGGGTTCTTTAGTAAAGACAGTGGTTCTATATAGAGCCAAGAACACCCAAAGAAATATTTACATGGTGAAATGGTTCTTCAGATTGATGGAGAATGTGTTGTATATGGTTCTATATAGCACCAAAAAGGTTTCTGCTATTGTTATGGTGTCAAACTTATAACAATAGAAGAAACATTTTCTGAAGAACCATTTCACCATGCAGAGGATGATGTAATTTAATTTAATAACTTATGGTTTTAAATAGAACCATTGCCTTTACTAAAGAACACCTTTTTATTTTTATGTGGGCGTGGCCATGGAATTCTCCTCTAGCAGTTTCTGCAGTAGGGGGCGCTATTAACACAAAAAGCTCTAATGTTCGTCATTTAGAGACAAAACAGTCGCGAGCCCACACCAGCAGGATCTGACCAACACACACATTTACAGCAACAACTTGCAGAGTCAGTTTATTAAGTGATTTAAGATTCTCATTTTTATTACCATTAAAATAAGTTTCTCATTTTTATTACCATTAAAATAAGTTTCTCATTTTTATTACCATTAAAATAAAGTGTTAGATTTTGAAATTTTATTGTAGACCTATTTAATTTTTTGGTTCTTTCAGTTTGGCTTTTTTATGCGTCCAAGAGTCCCAGAGTTTAGAGTTGGGCAATATAGCAATAATATAATATTGCAATACTTAAATATTTTTTTTACACGATATGTCACGATATTTATTTTTTCAGACATCTGATCAGTTGGAACAGAGAAAAAAGAGCTACATTTAGACACTTTTAAAAACGTTGTTTATAGTGACACATACAGCTGGTCTGTGTCTACAAGTACTGACGATATACACGATACGTTCAGAATAATATATTGTATTGTACCGTGACATAATTTATCATGATAATGATATATATTGTCATATTGCCCAACCTTACGAAAGTTCCACTTTTGACCATTTTCAGCTGAAAATTATCAGTGGCTGAAATTTCGGTGCATCTCTAATTAGCTTTGCGCTGCTTATGTAACGGTAAGGAAAAAGCAGAGGTAAAGTGATGAATGCAGTTGAAGCAGCCGAACAGAGAGGGCGCTGTGGCTACACGTCTTAAGCACAGCAACAACGTCCTGAGCGTTTTCGTGAAGGGAGCCGCGATTGATGATTGAATGTAAGCTTTGCGAAGCGATGCAGTGTTTATCTACTCTACAAATCTCAGGGAACAGCATTCTTTTCAGCTGTCACGTCGTGAGAGGTGGAAGAAGTCAAGTTCTTTTGAAATATAACCAGTAACGTTCTGCAGGTGTATCCGTCATGCGTTATCAGTGAATATGTACAGGTACACATGCAGTGTGCTGAAACGATACTTTACTGGAATTACTTATTGTTGCATCGAGCCAGTTTGACAGTTTCTATGAATCCTGTTTTCATAGTGCTTTATAAGTGTGTTTGAAAAGCATAATATGGCATACATAACACCTTATAGTGCCCAGTATAAGCTTGAATAATTGCTCATAAGTAGTCGTAGTTACATGTGTAGCATTTTCTACAATATACAGAACTTTATTAAGTCGGGTTTCATAACGCACTATAATATCTGTTCATAAGAACGTTGTAAACATGAATGCTGTAATGCGCTACAACACAATATGACAACATTTTGGTATATTTTCTGCATCGTAACAGACCCAGGCCTACATATAGAGTGTGAGGAAAGGAGCTGATGGACTTGGTGGAAGTTGGTGGACTTAACACTACTTTAAATTCTTTAAAAAATCATTTAATAAAAAGAAATACAGCTAATGGTAGTAATAGCTTTAAGCTAGCAGATTGGCAGATGGAGCAGAGTGTGTAAGATAAACACAATGATTATCTCACTTCATGTATCGTATGTAAAGAGCTCTTATTAAGCTCTGCAAGTTTTAAATACTGAAATGAAATTTCCTTAACATTTAAATGATGTTTAAAGAAAACTCACTTCATCTAAAACCTATAATACAGGACTACTCTCCGTAATTTGGTGCAAAAAAAAACAAAACAAAGATGTGAAAAGATTCAAAATGAAAAGATGTAAAAAGGCTGCGGTCATCTCCCTATAGCGCCATATACAGCCTCCCTATAGCGATTTAGGCTATGATACCTACCAAATTTTAAGCTAGCTTCCTCTCAGATGAGCTGATTTGGGCTCTCAAAATATTCTAATTATTCTTTTAACGTAACATTTTCTAAAAAGGACATTAAGGCCCAGTCCCATTTCACCCCTCGCCCCTACCACTGAGCCCTTAGCCCTCTGTTTTGTGTGTTCACGTCTAGGGGTAGGGTGTCCTGATTCTTGTTGAGATAGAGGGGTGAAGTGTTGGGGCTACATGACCCTCCAAACGGAGGTTTTACAGAGACACTCCACCCTACCTAGTGAAAAAAAGAAAAACTGGCAAGATGGACAAGAGACCAAAGAAACCCACAAATTTAAGTATTTTCTCCATTAAAAAATGACGATAACCACTGTTTTATCTTAGTTTAATGTCGTTTCAGTGTATTGTGCTCGTTTTCTTCATAGCAAGCATAAAAAATCACTAATAGTATGCTACTGTCTCAGTAGCTAGCTAGCTAATTTTCCCATTCCACCTTAAGTAGTCCAGCAGTTCTGACGCCTGAAGTGTAACTGGGCCTTAGACTCTCCAACTATCCTACTGCGGTTTTAACATGAGGCTGAAGTCGCTTCCTGTCAGTCGGCTTCTTGTTAGAATTTTCCCGTTCCACCTTAAATGGAGCAGTTATTATTATAATGTCTGACGTCCTGGAATGTAACTGCTGCACCTTTTAAGGTGGAAAAGGAGAATTAGAACAGAAGCTGGCGAATAGGAAGCCGACTTCAGCCTCACTGGTTAATGGTTAAGCTAGTCAGAGGAGAACACTTTCGTCACACGGAGCAGAGCAGAGCGCCCCCTATGCAGAATACCTGCTATACAGAATGAACTAATGTTGCGTAAATACTGATAGCAGCACCGTTTGTCCAGGGGCTTATCAGTATTTTGGTATTGACCAGTCAGGATACCCATGAATATCTCGATACCATCCCTATTAGTGTCTACAGTGTTCTAATGCATTATGGAGCCTGACTTCATGAAGTCATATACTCTTGCTTTATACAGTGTTGTACATATAGCTTTAACTACTTGAAATTATACAGGCTTAATTTCAATATCATAAGGCAGTATGTATGCCGTATAACACCTTATAAAGACATTTATTAAGCATTATTAACACAAGATTCACACACACCTTTTTTACTGATGTGTCTGCTTGTGGCGTCCTCCACACTGGAGCTTCTGGCTTTGGCTTTACCTGCCTTTCTTTGCGCTCATGTTGATTCCCCTCCAGCTTGCGTTTTCTGGCAGAGTGCCGCGCTCTAGAGTCAAGAGCCAGAGGCTCGGTGAAGGACGGCACACTTTGTGGTCTCATGCCAGTCAATGTGATGCCAGGCAATGTGTTCAAGCTGCCGTTACATCCTTCTGTTAGTGCTCAGAAAAAAGGACTATTAGCATCCATCTGTGTGATAACATCCCACTGATGCACCAAAGACTCTCTGGCCTTCTCCAATCATATCAGAGCTATTGTGATTAT